GAATGGGATGTTTTTTGCACAATGAGGAATGGTTCGTTCCATACATAGCCAAGAAGAGCCGCTAGACTCACGATATCTATCGCGCGTTTGGAGGGTGGGAACAGTGGAGTCAAAACAAGATGATGGGCATGGGGGTTGACCAAAAATATGCACCAGTTACCAGTCCATTGAATGCTGTTATAATTCTGTCGAGTTTGTCTTGAACTGAGATCTTGGGCTGGAGCGCGAATTACCGTTCAACAGCTACAGCAAACGCCGAGATCTTTAGAGGAGCTGTGTTTCAATAATCTCGTTCTAGCGTTGTACGTTGTAAGATTTGAAGAGCCATCTGCGCGTCATAACAGGAGGAGACGGAAGAAAGAGTTCCTGACTTTGATGCTTTCTCTTTTGATGCACTGAAGGAAGCACAAAGGGAACCTGAGAGAAGAGTGCCAAGCGCTGAGGTCAATCCGGATAAAGGGTTGCCGAGCAGAGAGTGAAGTGGTTGTCGCTAATGTCCAATTTCGATTTCTTAAGCCCATAAAGGTAGCGGCAAGCCAAAGCCAAAAGGTAGAAGCCAGCTGATTATATATTAGCATGCTAGACTAGAGGAGAAGAGGAATTGTTTAATATCGAAAGAATAAGAGCATTCGGTACGGAGGATAAGATATAGCAGAGTGATGGTTTACAGGGATCGCCTTTCCCATACCACATCACCATACAATTCACACTTCAGACCACGAATTGCCATTGTCGGACGGGCTCTTGCAACACTCCGCAACAGTATTAGTACATACATTTCTCCTCTCCCACTCCTCGCTTCTATCAAGATCGCCGCTCACACCCTTGTCCAGGGCCCATGCAGATCCCACTCCCTCTTCTCTGGCTGTCCCTGCAACTTCCACACGATATGACACGACACGCCCCCCCCTTCTCAACCTCCCGTAATAAAACCCAACCAACCCAAAAAGCACTGTCACTCCCCTAAAACAATAACAGCGCCCACAGCGCTCTCAGCGGTGACGACATCTGCTACAGGCATCATATGAGGCTACGGGCGCCTCGTGTTGTAGTGTCTGTTGGTAGGTAAGGGATAGGGGAGCTTGCGGAAACGAGGGTCCATCTTTTATCTTATTTTATTTAATGAATTTTCTTTATTTTTTCTGTCAAGCTGTGATTATGCTTGCAGCTGTAGAGGATCATATCAGATCTTGAGCCTGTGTGCATCTTATAATATGTGAACATCGTTTCGTCACTGTGATTCTGTGGACAGCTTCGTACTGGACCTGCTGTTGACCAGCAACAACGCGAGGATTGCTTACCTCAGGTAATTTCAAGTCGATCAGTTCTACCTCTTCTGGCTCAATCAATTTTACCAAGTTCCTTTCCTGCAATATCATCTTATCTCTCTTCTTCTCTTTCTACGCACAATTGACTTGTCTTTCATTCCTTTCAATTCGTTCCTTAGTATTCTTTCATTCTAAGCTCAATCTTTTTGCTACTACCTCATTTCACACTCACTCCAACCAAGAAAACCAAAAAAAAAAACCAAAAAAAAGACGGCCATTTTACGCCGAGATAATAGCACTACTGCTGCACCGCCATCACACCTCTTTTCATCATCAATCACGCTCAAAGGGAACTACCTACTAGGCCATCGGATCGGTCTCTTCCCGCTTCATCTTTGACTCCCCTCTGCTTGGTTCTTTTTCAGAGCGTGGAGCCTCCTTTGTCCACCCAGCCTTGGCTTTGCAGCTGAGTATTGGAACCTTTCCATTTTTGGTCTCAGGACCCCTGCGATACTTTGCGCGGTACGTACTGGGAACTTACTGCGCTGCTTGGGCTTTGTTGCCAGGTCGTATCGTGACCTCCAGTGCAACTCTATTCAAGTGAGAGAGGAGTCGTTGGCAAACAAACTATCAACTGAGGACCACTCCAAGGAACACACATCGATGCTTCCACAGGAATCGACAATCCAATTTATCGATTTTGCCTAGGTAACTCCCTAGAACTTTTCTCGTCCGTCGCTATTCCCAGGCCCTCTTCTATTCTCAAGTCGGGCCAAATTTGGTTAGAGAGTTCATCGCTCGTCTTCGTTCTTCCTTCCTTGTTTCCCATCCCGGTCGCTGCTGCCGCCGCCCCTCCACTAGGGCCCGGGACTACCGTGCTAGGTACAGATACCTACCTAGCTCTTACCTGATTTGACCACTCTAGTCGCTACTTCCCTCACACCTTTTCCCATCCCAAATCTCCCTTCTCGACCTCGACCTCTCCAGTTGTCACGTATTCCTACCTCTGCCTCTGCCTCTGCCTCTGCCTCTGCCTCTGCCTATTATTTCTCAATCACGCCCCAACCTCCCCCTCCTAATCATCTCCACGATATCTATTTCGTTGACTGGGAATTGCTCTTTCTCTTTTTCTTTTACCCTTGTGGTGACTTTTGGATCTGGGTTTCCTTTCGTCTTGGGATAATTGGTACTGTTCACGTTTTGGGATCGCATTGTATCGTACCGACCATTCGCTTGTGTTTGCAACTGGAAATCTACGAGGATTGCCAGAATTATTCATCGATAACCACTTGAGCCTCAGGAAACTCTCGACTCTTCACTGTCACTCATCGATAATTCTTTCATCCCGAACCAAACACGATACCCGATCATCGCGAATCTAAATCCCCATCTTCGAAAAGCCACCGATCTCCTGGTGATTCACATATAACCTGCTTGAACACTTCATTGTGCTACCTTGCTCAACCCAACCCGGATCACGATTGACGATATCGGCTGTCTTGCTCCGGCGTCGGGACATCTACCCACGCGAAATCACACCTGCCGGTAGTACTACACCTCTCGACGTCAGACGTGGTATGGCTTCGACCAACTGAGAGTTCTCCCGCAACCGTGTCATGTTATGAAAAGCCTGCTTCATCTCTGTTGCACCCGACCTCACATGCTCTCTTGCTCAGTCTCTTTGGTAAAGGTGTGTAACGTGCTCCTTCTGCCTGGGCTCTCCTCGCTCCCCTTCAACTCGACACATTCTAACCTTAAACTCAACGTAGTTTTCTTGACCAAGTCATAACCATCATGTCTCCTCTTTCCAGACATGCCCAACAGGCCGGCTTGCTCTTCTTAATAGCATCATCATGGACACCTCTAGCTGCTACCCTAAACATCGAATATTGTGCTAGCTACAATACTGGCGAGACTCCTAGGAGTATGTAACCCCGTCGTATACACACCTTGCAGCCTCTAACCATCTTATTAGATACGAGCATTTATCAGACTAATGGCCTCTGCCATGATTTCTGTATCGATGACTGGGCATACGCTATCACTCAGGATAAGCTATGCTGGTGTTCGAATTACGCTCCTGTCAAGTCATCCCAAGTGGACGACTCCAAGTGCGATACTCCTTGCCCAGCATGGCCTGATGAAGTCTGCGGTGGTGACGGAGTGTACGGATATGTGTCTCTAGGCAACGTCGAGCCTTCAGGCTCAAGGGGCCCTTCCCCTTCATCAACCACAGTAAGTCAAATCCTGTGACATGATTATGTTTCGTGTTGTGATCGCCGCATATGCCGTGATCAGACGAGTGTCTGCCTACCCAACTCCTCCACCTGTACATCTCAGTCCATTTAAACCCTTCTGCGGTTGGTAAGATACCACGGCTTAACAGGCAACCATCAGGCAAAACCAACCACCGTGGCCGTATCCAGAGTGACTGAGACAATACAGAATACGGTGACTCTAAAGCCATCATCCACATCCATATCGACCTCCACGTCCACGTCCAGCTCGGAGCCAGAAACAACCTCAACTGTATGCCTTGTCAACACGAATGTTATCTCGCCTCGGAAATCGGTGATGTAATAAAGAGGTTTAGGACAGACACTGACTACGTATTTAGACCGAAGATCAAACCTCAGTCACGAGCACAGCCGAGGATGAGTCAACTACATCTAGTTCGCGCACCTCTGTTGTCCAGACTGTCACTGCTGGCGGTACTATCAGGACCGTCACCGTGGCAGCCCCGACGGAGACTGGCGGAACGACCGCAAGCGAAAACACCAATGGCTCAACTACCGAGAAGAGTGGACTTGGCACTGGCCAAGTTGTCGGTATCGTGGTAGGCGTGATTGCAGCCGTCATCGGTGCCGCAGGCCTCGTCCTATTCCTCTGGTTCCGACGAAAGAAGCAACAGAACGAACAAGAAGCCTATCAGGACGACCCCAGTGTTCGAGATAGCTCCTCGGGCATTGCACGACCTGATATGAGCATGGCTGGATCACCAATTGCATCAGCCGCGGCAGGAAGCCGTAACAGCACCTTACAAGTTGATCCTCGAATGGATCCATTTAAGCAAGGGTTGTACGTTCGAAGCGCAAGTCATGAGAGTATCAACACATTGCGAGATGACCACGACTATTCGAGGAGGATTCAGCCGCCTAAGGTTCTTCGTGCAACAAACCCCGATCCAACGCCTGAGCCTTGACCGACAGGACTTTCGGCAACTCCAGAAATTCCGCTGGGCCCCAAAAACCATCTTTTATAGGATGAGACTACGAAAAGAGGCACTTGTCTATTTGATCAAGAGCACGGCATCATTTTGCCTTGAGGGTACATTCTCAACTTGAATCCCTGGAGTCAAGCAGAATTTCTTGGGATGGATAATGAAAGATGTTCTAGACGAGCAGACAAAATGGTCACAATGACCCATGAAGCACACGAATCTCACTTTCTCCCGGCTCACTTTTAAAACCCAAACGGGTTTAGTTGCATTTCGAGATACCAGGAAGGCGTTGGCATTTTACAAGGGGGATTACATACACAACGGAACATGGGACGAACGCCCCCCAGCAACTGGCGGGATCATGGTAGGGTACATATACGAGCGAGCCAAGTGACTGCTGCTTCGCACATCACTACTTGAAAGGTCATGCATGACGGCAGAAACCAACGCTTAATTTTCGATTCGGATTTTATACTTATGGCATCACGGCAACGGCGACCTCGACCAAACAGTTATGGCACAATGGATGAGGGACAGCGACCTGTGAAGGGCGTGACAGAGTCGCCGAGTTTGAATGACTTACGTGGGCGCTCAGTGTTGGCTTCAAAGTCTGGATATAATATGCAGGTCGTCGTTGTCAGTTTGGGGTCACTTTTACGTACATAGAGCCAGCATAAATGCATAGGGCCACGAGGTTGAAATAGCGGCCAAAAGTATTCTCTTCATTTCTTGGTCTGCAACTACTGCTTGTACTTTTTATCCCCGTGACACGAAAGTGATCGCTTTCATGAGTTTCGACGCTCACTAAAGAACTCGTGATCAAGCTAGCTCTACGGTGAAGTTATCCGCCTCTTTCTCCATCTCTACATGCAACTCGTCCCCCTGTGATCTATACTGAGTCATCGCCTCAGGCGCTCTATTGCTGGATTTGAAACGTGAGGCAACATGAATCGCGCGTGGTGTCAAGCGGTCCGCGGCTTGAATAGAGCAGAACCGACGCTCGCGAGGTGTACAACGCCACATTTGACGTGGCCCCCATGCCTTTACAACTTTAGTCTTGAAAACGCACTATGGAGAAATGTCGCGGAAAGTGGGAGGCACGTCGAAACCAACTAGTTTACGGCTGGAGACGATGGAGTCTAATAAGTTCGTGGATATCCTCGTGGCTTCAAATGATGACCCTAGAAGGTCGACGTTGTGGAATACTCTGTCGACAGGAACATTACTCAAGGAGGTTAGAGACGGTGAAGCACTAAATCAAGAATGGCCATGAAGTGTAAAAGCGAATTCCTGTCTTTTTAATCGTATCCCACTTGTAGGGTAGAATCTTGAGCACATAGATACATGATGATATATATACAGATCCAAGACTCATGACAATCCAAATAAAATATGCACTGAAAATGCTGAAGCGAATTCCAAATCAAGCAAACCCTATGTTCCGGTTATCCTGCACCCAAACACCCTGCAAACCAAAATAACAAATCCGCGCTCTGTGCAAAACCTTTTGCGTCTTTTCTCCTCCGACTATTGGAACCGTGTGGGACTAGGGCTGTTCTCGCGACTTAGACTCTCGAAACTATCAACCATAGCCAAGACGCGTGTTCGAGCTCGTTCTCGTGTGAGGGGAACTGCTTGAGCTTCGAGAAGTACACCCGAGGAACGGTCTGTTTCGTGCGAGAAGCGTGGCTCTAGTGGAGCCAGATCTGGGTGGAGGAAGCCGCCGACAGAGTTGTTTGAGTTGCCTCGCATGTGTCGTCTTGAGTGAGAGGGGTGGCCAGGAGATGGTAGAGGAGAAGGAGAACGCGATGACGACGGTGAAGAATCCCGGGAGCTGCGCTGGAAGAGAGGTTGAGGTGGCTGAAGATGAGGGGGTTTCGCTTGTTGTAGTGTTTCTGGAGGGGGTTGCTGTTGTTCTTGTGATGTAGGTTGTGGTAGCTCTCTCTTCTCAGACTCCTTGTCCTTCTGTTGTGCTTGTCGAGATTTCTCTTCTGCAAGACGTTGTTCCTCGGCACGCTTCTCATCCATCAGCCGCTGTCCCTCTTCCTCAAGACGACGCCTCTTATCTAGCTGTTCTTGATCATCCTGAACAAGCGGTTGCTTTTCGTTAATCTCGTCGTCCCTCTTTGGCTCCGCCACTGGTCGAATGCCAGCATGTCCAAATCCACGTTCATCCCGCTTCTCACGAATACTGACACCTCCTGATGTCTGGCTCTCGTTGTCTGGGTCAACAAACTCAGCCTTGTGTGGCTCCATCGGCACCTCGTCCTCTCGATCGCTGCCCTCCTCGTTGCCATTAACAACTCTTAGACGTTCTCGAGGGACAGTGAACATGACCTGCACCAATCGCTGCTCAACAGCCTTCTCAATATCCCAGTCAGACTCAGCTCCAGGCTCAAGTCCGGCTCCACCAGACATCATAGCACCATGCGAATCGCCTTCAACACCTTCCCAGTCCTGTCGGCCTTTCTTCCTTCTCAGAAGCTCACCGCGTAGACCAACCAGGCCGGGCTCGTAATCACCAGTCACGGGCTCTTGATCAAACGAACGGCGTATGCCAGACATATCTTCGCGGGATGATGTTGGGGTACTAGCCCCTGAGAACACTCGCCGAAGAGAGCCCAGCCATCCCCTACGTGGCTTTGACTTGGACGGCGACGAGGATTCATCATCATCGTAGCGAGGAGCTCGATCTCCCATAAGTAACGAAGGACCCTCTGCTTGAAGAACACCAAATGACGAGCGGGCTGTGTTGTAACTACTAGACGACGAACTGCCTGGCTTAGGGTGCTCGGCACCAGCGGCTAGGAACGCTGGGGCGAGAGGGTTGAGTTGACGTGCTTTAGCCTTGATGCTTTCCGCTGCGCTCCGTGCTGATTCGGACAAGTTAGATCCGCTTCGCGATTCATCATCTCGCAGAGCAGCTGAACGGGTCGAGTTATGCCGCGTTGGTGAAGAACGACCCTGACTGTGACCCACGCTTCCTTGGTTCTGGCTTCGTCGACTATTCATGCGTGCAAGTAGTCCTTCCGCAGCATCAACTTCAGTGACCCAATCTTGAACCTCTGGATCATGTCGCGGGCTCTCAGGGCTCGGTGTTGCCGAGGCTCTATTACCACCTCCAGGAGTCAGGCAAATGGGGTGAGGAATATTATTCGGACCCACGCCTGCGACTGGAGTCTGGAAAGGATCTGAAGGAACCTCTGATGTAGGAGTCGGGACGTGATCATAAAGGCCTCGGTTGTGATAGGGTTCCTCTTCATCGTCCTCATAAATCGGATGAATTGGACCCGGGAAACTTGTAGGCCGTGGTCCCGTAGGTATATATCCTCCTCGTGACGGCCTTGCCATAGATTTGTGTGGGATGTGAAGTCCAGGATGACCACTTCGAGCGCCCCTCATAGACTCGTAGCCTAGAGATCGCTCGCCAGTAGCATAAGGGCTTTCACCAGTACCATACCAAGGGGCACTATTGAGCCCCCAAGGATCATTTTCCACCATTTCGGGGTATTCGTTATTATAGTAGTTGGGATCTTGAGAAAGCGCCCTGACAGCTTCTTCTCGCTTGCTGATATGCCGCCTGCGTCTCTTGTACCAACACAGAGCACCAATGATGATGCCGATCAGGGCAGCAATACCAAAGCCTAGGCCGAGACCGAGGCCAAGGCGCTTCGAGTTTGATCCTTTGTTATCATCCTTGGGCGCGTCGTTATCATCATCCGATGAGCTAGAGGCGGGGTTTGTATATTGTGATCCCCATGAACCTGACGTGATATTGTAGAAGCGAAGTGTTCCAGACGAGGATTGACGCTTGACTTTCCGAGAGGAAGAGCCCGAAAACTCCCAGCCGCCGTAGACCATGAGCATATTTCCTGGCAACACTGCAGCACCATGGCCGTAGATTCCGTTGAAATCAGGTTGTTGATCAGGGATCTTCCACTGCCACCCGCTGTAGATCTCACTCATCTCGAGGATCGCAAGTTGCGGTTCAGCAGGGGTATTAACATCGCCAACCCATCCTCCTATAACGATGATAGAGCTTCCATCCTCGCTGAGCGTCGCAGTATGCCCAGAACGACTGTAGACATTGTCCGCAGTGGTTGTGCTCCTGCGGCGATTCTGAGAGCTCGTATCCTTCACAGCAAGATCTGACTTTGGCGTACCAACATCTGGAGCTTGAATGCTGACATAACTCCATGACTCGGCGGGAAGATTCCACACAGCGACGGTGCTCATGTTGATAAAGGCTGTCTTGGTATGTCCACCAAGAAGTACATAACTCATCTGCTGCGTCACAATGCCGGATTTATTGGTCATTGAGGGCGTGAGACCAGTTAGAGTAAAGCCTGCAATGGGTATTTTTGGTCCACCACTGGAAGCGACGCTCATCTCATACGAGGTAAAAGCATCGCTATCATGGGGTGCGAGTCTCAGCATCGATTTGGTGTAGTTGGCATTGCTCTGCCAGTTCGTCGCATCACTTCCAGACTCGGGTGTCTCGCACATTCCTCCATAAGTATAAAGAGTTGGCTGGTCCATATCAGGAGCGAGGCTGGAGGAAAAGGCAACAGTGCCTCCAAGGAAATACGGTGCGCGACGGGTGTCTCCGCCGTTCTTGAGACCCCGACGAGACCACCCCCCTTGATCGTTGCTATAGTCGAAACTCCAAACATCGCCGCTACCAGATTCGCAGTCACCTGCATAAACGAGGACAGAGCCGTTCGCTGTTCTCGCAGCACCGAAGGCAGTGCTCTTGGAACTACCATCGAGAAAAGGTAAGACAGTATCATTGCTTGCGCGCTCAAGGCTGTCCTCGTCCGCATCGATGCTCTTGGAAAAGTCGAGGGATCGAAATTCAACATTGCCTGAAGCTGTTTGTCGGAAGATGTATGCTAGGTTCGAAGCACTGCATGGAACACTGCCGTCAACGCATGTTAGGTCGGGCATGAGAATCTCTGTGGGCACGTATGGGAAATTTTGCGCGGCGGCGGGGGAGGCGAGAAGAAGTGTGCTCGCGCAGAGGAGGAGAGCAGTAGAGATTGTCATTTTGGGCATTGTTTGCGCAGGCCGACAGCTGCGGGTGATCGTTGGAGTCATTGCGGTTTCTGCGAAGTTGAGATGACTCGCAAATTCGAATGGTACAGACGAAGCAATCGCAGTTGCTTTTCCAAGCGTAGTTTTCTCGCCGACGATGATACTGAGCACTCAGAGCATGGCCATCACCGTGTAGCTCGAAAGCTGGATGGTATCTGTTTGCAGTTGTTCACTTCCCCTAACTTCCCTACTGTGAGTATGTGTAGAGTCTGAGAATCTGCAGTGCAAAAGAGTCGTACGTGTTCTGCTGATCGACACGAAGGAATGCTCAAGGGTCTCTGCGTAATGTCTCGGTCTATGCGCACCTTGTCCAAGACTCTCAATATTGACCAAACCTGCTAATAATGCTAATGCAAAGGCCTCAAGAACAGGCCACGAATGGGGTCGATGTGCAGGTTTAGATTGGATTGTAGGAGAGCAAGCCGAGAGTCAAGAGAGAATCTGAGCAGGAAGAAAGCAAGCACAGGCACAGGCAGAGAAGTAAAGAGAAGGAGCAGGGATGAGGGGATCTCAGCAGCAAGGTAGGGAAGGGAAGGTAAGGTAAGGTAAGGGTAAGTGCATCCGGGATCTGGAGCCGTATCGTCCAATGTCAATATCGTACTATCAATCAATCACACAAGCAAGATTTGCGA